CTTTTTTCAGTGGTGCCCAGGGACAGGACAAGAGGGAACGGGCAAACTCAAACACAGGAAGTTCCACCTAAACATGAGGAGGAACTTCTTTGCTGTGAGGGTGGCAGAGCCCTGGCAGAGGCTGCCCAGGGAGGTGGTGGAGTCTCCTTCTCTGGAGACATTCAAACCCACCTGGACACGTTCCTGTGCAACCTGCTCTGGGTGGACCTGCTCTGGCAGGGGGTTGGACTAGATGATCTCCAGAGGTCCCTTCCAACCCCTACAATTCTGTGAAATAAATACATCTAACAACCCAATCAACCTCCAGAAACAGAGCCAAAAAGCCTGTGTAATCTTTATACCAAGGATAAACAAAAAGGAAAAAAAATTATCCATGGCCTTGTGTTGCTCATACTGCTTTTGAAAGGAGCATGGTCGGGACCCATAGTCCCAGCCACACAAACCAGAGAACAGCCAGGGGAGCTCTCCTAGACTGCAGCAATCTCAAGCAGGCCAGGATGCAAAGGATGTTAGATATGGGATCCAGTAAAAAGAAAATTGGAATCACAAACAAGGAATAGCATACAGGAAATCTGTGGGAAATATACTTACTCATTTAAGAAGCAGCTGATCAGTCACCATTAAATTATAGCGTTTAAGAAAAAAAACGGGTTGTACAGTGAAGGAGCACAGTAGAACTTAACAGGGAGAAAGAAGAGGTAGGCTCTCAGAAGTATTTGTGGCTGCTGAGACTTATTTTTCAACAGTGTACTCTCACAGGTGGGCCCTGCTGTTTTAGACAGTTCTGCGTGTCAGAGCACGGGGAATTATCAGCAGGAAACAAGTTCATATGAATTTCCAGGCTACCTCTTACTCTTTAAGAGCAGGCCGAGAAGGAAACATCTAGGACAGATAAAAACCAGTGCTGAGCACAAAGTGCTTACCGATGAAGGGATCGATGACGTGACGCTTTTTCACCTTGGTTTCTGTGATGGCAGCGTAATAGGCGCAAGTCATTTTGATGAGCCAGGCCGCTCTCATTACTGGAACGGTGTATTTCGCCAAATAACCAAAGACCTCTTCCTTTTTGCTAAAAATGGGCACCTGTAACAGGATCGAGAGGGAGAATTGCAACCGAAGACTTCGATGGGAACTATTCCAAAGCAAGCTCTGGTCAGAAGTCAACAGTACCAGAGCTGCATTTCAGTATAAACAGAAACAAAACAAACTGGAAGACGACAGAGAACAGAATTACATCACTGTAAATCCATGCCCAGAATCCTGCAAACAGCTCTGAGGATATCCTCCAGAATGGATAGAAACAGGTACAAAAGACAGTGTGTTTCTCACTGGGTCCTTACCTCTAAGTCTGCTATACAGACTGAAGGTTGGACTCTTTGTTCATGTAAAAAAAAAAAAAAAAACAGAGTGGGTACAAAAGCCTTGCAATATCATGAGTAGCTAACAGCGAGAGACACGGAATCGAGTGCCGTAGTAGAAAGAAGTTCATTAATTCAAGATTGAAAATACAACATGGGAGGATACCAGTGAAATCATCAGACTGCAGATCTATAAACCAGGAAGCAGTAACACATCACAGGAAAGAGAACAGCTGAGGGGCTCACTTCCACGGGATATCACAGAGAGCAGAAGGTTGTGTGTGTTCACAGAGGAATGACACAAATTCACAGAGGACAGGTCAACAGTACCAGAGCTGCATTTCAGTATAAACAGAAACAAAACAAACTGGAAGACGACAGAGAACAGAATTACATCACTGTAAATCCATGCCCAGAATCCTGCAAACAGCTCTGAGGATATCCTCCAGAATGGATAGAAACAGGTACGAAAGTCCAGTGCTGAGCACAAAGTGCTTACCGATGAAGGGATCGATGACGTGACGCTTTTTCACCTTGGTTTCTGTGATGGCAGCGTAATAGGCGCAAGTCATTTTGATGAGCCAGGCCGCTCTCATTACTGGAACGGTGTATTTCGCCAAATAACCAAAGACCTCTTCCTTTTTGCTAAAAATGGGCACCTGTAACAGGATCGAGAGGGAGAATTGCAACCGAAGACTTCGATGGGAACTATTCCAAAGCAAGCTCTGGTCAGAAGTCAACAGTACCAGAGCTGCATTTCAGTATAAACAGAAACAAAACAAACTGGAAGACGACAGAGAACAGAATTACATCACTGTAAATCCATGCCCAGAATCCTGCAAACAGCTCTGAGGATATCCTCCAGAATGGATAGAAACAGGTACAAAAGACAGTGTGTTTCTCACTGGGTCCTTACCTCTAAGTCTGCTATACAGACTGAAGGTTGGACTCTTTGTTCATGTAAAAAAAAAAAAAAAAACAGAGTGGGTACAAAAGCCTTGCAATATCATGAGTAGCTAACAGCGAGAGACACGGAATCGAGTGCCGTAGTAGAAAGAAGTTCATTAATTCAAGATTCAAAATACAACATGGGAGGATACCAGTGAAATCATCAGACTGCAGATCTATAAACCAGGAAGCAGTAACACATCACAGGAAAGAGAACAGCTGAGGGGCTCACTTCCACGGGATATCACAGAGAGCAGAAGGTTGTGTGTGTTCACAGAGGAATGACACAAATTCACAGAGGACAGGTCCATTTGGTCGGTATCTCAGTCTCCAAACTACAGACAGTTGGATTGCTTTGCTGTTTCTTATATCCTTCCCAACCACTCTCTGATGCCTCAGAGACACGGCCTGTTTGGCTCCCGACAGCAGCTGCCCTCGTGTCCAAGTCCATGAAAACCAATGAAGCCCATTGCAGGACACCAGGGAATGCCTTGAGAGGTTCAAGCTTCCACAGTGACCTCAGGAAACTGACAGCCAACGTGCAAAGAAGGACACAAGGACTAATTTTACACAGAGACAGAGTCTGGGAAAATCCAGTTACTTTATTTTCCCCCAGGAGTGACTCAGAACTTCAAGGACCAGACAAACTCCAGCTTCTAAACTACGTGCTCTACTACCATTTCACAACTGGGAGTTGGGTTTTTCCACAAGGCAGACTCAGTTCTTGAGTTCCTTGTTTGTAGGCCCACCCTGATAGAGAGTGAGCTCCCCTTGTTATGGGGCTCGATAAAATGGTGAGTAAGACCCTTCTTTCTTCTTCTGTACTCTACAGAATCCACTGCTACCAGGGAAACATCTAGCCCTAGACCCCAGGGCACAGAAATGCTCTAGCCTGTCTGAGACAGCTGTGATACACATCCTCTTCTCAGCTTTCAACCAGAAACCTGTGTCACTGCAACAGAAGCCTGGCAAGTCCCTCAGCCCGTTATTTCCAGTAATTCTCACTATGACTTTTGAGAACTTGAAAAAACTCTCCACAGTAAGAACAGTTCCAACTCTAGCCTGGCTGAGACAGCTGTAATACACATCCTCTTCTCAGCTTTCAACAAGAAACCTGTGTCACTGCAACAGAAGCCTGGCAAGTCCCTCAGCCCGTTATTTCCAGTAATTCTCACTATGACTTTTGAGAACTTGAAAAACTCTCCACAGTAAGAACAGTCCCAACCTAAACAGAGGCCAAAGGCAACAGTGGCAACAAAGGCAACAAGCCAAAAGGCCAAGTTGAACACAACCTCCAAACAACAGGTGAGGGACCGGTTCTTTGAGCGGGGACGGCTACAGCCAGGGCTCTACAAATCCAGGAAATACTTGTCAAGCAAAAAGCTTTAAGAGACATAGAAAGAAGAAACTTCTCCAAACAGGAAAAAAAAACCTTCTCCTACTATACGAACACTTGAGAACCAAGCCTAGATGAAATGCTCTGCTCTGCCAGGCAGCCTCTCCCAGAACATACCTTCTTAGCCAGATGAGTGAGGGGCTTAGTCCCAGCCAGATCTGTGAACCAGTTGTTTATGGCACTCTGAGAACGCGCTGTCACCAGCCAGAAGTTATCCTTCTGGTTCACCTGGGGTTTCCGTCTTCCCGTGTCAGGCAGCGTATTGCAGCGCAGCTTTTCTGCGATGATGCTGCTAAAATTTGAACTGATCTGGAAAAAAAAAAAACAACACAAAAGAACAGAAGGATGAATCGCATTTCACAGGCCAAAGATCTATTTTGTGTGCTTAAAATCTCATTTATCGCTCCTACCAGAAGTCTCACCAGTATCGACTTTTGAAACACAAAAATCCTGCCAATAATTTCCTTTGGTGCACTTGAAAAGGGGAGCGCTTCTAGACAACTCATCCAATAATCAAGCAGGGACACAAGATGAGACAGACACAACTTTTTAGAAATACTTGTCAAACCAGACTGAAGGCTTCTTGCACAGACATCAGCCAAGGAAAAGAAAGACCCTGCGCTAATCGATTGCCTTCCATCCCAGGTCAATACTAGGCCTCTTGTCCAGGAGGCCAGGAAGTTAACGTCTTGATTTTCAAGACTGGAAAAATGGAATCATAGAATCATCTAGGTTGGAAGAGACCTTCAAGATCATCGAGTCCAACCATCAACCTAACTCTGACAAAAACCATCACTAAACCACGTCCTCCAGCACCATGTCAACCTGTCTTTTGAACACCTCCAGGGATGGTGCCTCAACCACTTCCCTGGGCAGCCCATTCCAATGCTCGATAACCCTTTCAGTGACAAATTTGTTCTTAATATCCAACCTGAACCTCTGCTGGCGCAACTTGAGGCTGTTTCCTCTAGTCCTGTCGCCTGTGACTTGGGAGAAGAGACCGACCCCTGTCCCTTTACAACCTCCTTTCAGGAAGCCTGTTATATAACTCCCATGTTTAAACTGCCAGAGGTTTCAAGAAGTCTTACTTCTTGTCTACCATGGCCATAATGAAACCAAACCAGTAGGAAGAAGTTTCCTATTTCTGGTATCTTACTCTTCTGCTTTAATTCCAGAATATAAGGAGTTCTAGATGCTGGTTTAACAGAGACTGCACCTACAGACCATAAGACAGAGCCAAGAACTTGCTCTCTCGGAGGCAGGAGACAGTTCCAAAAGCAGGCAGAACTTTGATTCTGCAGGGACAGAGGGTTAGGTCCTAAAATGCCCATCCTAAAGAAAAGGGTCTCCCGGATCTAGACACGGGGAAGGCATGAGAGGAGCCAGGTCTGGCCGGGGCCCAGCCACCTGCCCTTACAGGCACCGGGCCCTGCCACCCCCCGCCCCATCCCACCACTCTCACCTTCGCTGGGTTGAAGTTGACATTTTTGGCACTGCCGTGCTCGTCCCCGGAGACCGCCGGCTGGTTATTGAAGCCTTGCTTGACGTTCAGAGCGGTCAGCTCATCCTGCGGGAGAAGGGCGGTCACCGGGGCCCGGCCAGGCCCCTCCACGCCGAAGGCCCGCGGCCTCCGTCCCCGCCGGGGCAGCCGGGCCAGCGCCGGGACAGGGCAGGGG